TTTCTTTTTATTGAGTTTATTGGTACATTCTAGGGAGACAGTACAGTTACATTCATCACGGGGATCTTGTACCTTCACATGACAGGTCTTGGTTCTCATTTTTTCCCCTTGTCCCCGCCCTCCCTTCACCCCCTCCACCTCTCCCCATTTACAAGCTCTTTATTTCCATTTTTCGTTTTCTCCTATGTCTTTCTTTTCCCTTATTCCCTTTCCCCACCCTTCCCACTTCCCCTACACATTTAGCCCTTTTCTTCCCACTTCGCATTTCTGATTATGAGTGGGAACGAGTGAGTGGGCGCCTTACAGGAGTCCAGTTCTCTCCTAATGTCCCAGCCTCCAGTTCATTTTCAGCGGCCAGGGATTGTGAGAAAATTCATCACGGATCTTGTACCTTCACATGACAGGTCTTGGTTCTCATTTTTTCCCCTTGTCCCCGCCCTCCCTTCACCCCCTCCACCTCTCCCCATTTACAAGCTCTTTATTTCCATTTTTCGTTTTCTCCTATGTCTTTCTTTTCCCTTATTCCCTTTCCCCACCCTTCCCACTTCCCCTACACATTTAGCCCTTTTCTTCCCACTTCGCATTTCTGATTATGAGTGGGAACGAGTGAGTGGGCGCCTTACAGGAGTCCAGTTCTCTCCTAATGTCCCAGCCTCCAGTTCATTTTCAGCGGCCAGGGATTGTGAGCAGGCTAACGTGTCGGGTTTTTGTCAGATCACTGATGGGCTAAAGATAATAAAATGTACCTGGAAATTCAGTTCTTCCTTCCTGCACTCCTCCATCAGGCAGTGAGAATAACCTTCTAACTTGCTGTTCTGGAAATGCGAGTGATCCAACATTCGCTTTTCTTACATTTCTGCCTTCGTCTGCCGACGGACCGGGCGATCTCAGCACCTGTCGCCCAGCAGCACCTTTGAGTCCTGGTCCCGGAGCCGGGGGCTTCTCCCCCGAGGCTGCACACTGCGAGGCCGTCCTGCAGGACAAAGCCCGTTCCCCAGGGCTCGTCCCAGGGCCGAGTATGTGGGCAGGATGGAAGGGGACCTGGCGGGAGGGCCAGAGCCCGAGCGCAGCCCAGGAGAGGCGCTGGCCCCAGCTCTGTCCCTCCCGCCCACACTTGAAGGGCCCCTGCTTGCCCAGGACAGCCCCTCACAAGCTCACCCGCCTGCCTTCTGCAGATCCTGCCTTTGACTTCTCAGGCTCGCCAGTTGGGCCCAACAGCACCCGGCCTGCTCCCCTACAGCCCCAGCAGCGGGGCCTTCTGACCCGCTGGCGCGGGAGTTCCTCCGCACCGTCTCACGCAGTCTGCCATCCGGAGGCTGCTCAGAGCTTCTGTGTCACGGAACCCCAGGCCTCGTTATTACTAACCAGTCAGGGTTGATATTTTATACAGCCACGGCCTTGGTGTTCAGGACGCTCCATTCTCTTCGAGCTGACCTCGGATCACAAATGCTGGGCCTCAGAGGCGGCCATCTGAATTAGAGGTCGCTCTGCCGGAGCCCCTTCCCCACTCTGCAGTCCCGTCTGTCTCTGCGGCTGCTGCAGACCGGACCCAGCCATTGGTGCTCTTCTCACTTTCCTGCCCCTTTCCAGCAGTCTCTCCCCTTGTGGTCCAGACCCCAGGCCTCCCCATCCTTTGGCTTGCTCCGGGCTCCTCGTGGGTCCCGTTTGGTGGCTGCAGAAGATTTCCAGATGTTTCTTTCGCCTCACCGAGGGGCGCAGAGCCGGCAGCCACCCTCGCCCAAGGCAGCTCAGCTGCTCAGGACCACTGGACACAGCCTGGCTGTGGATCTCCCTGGCACACCAGAGAGGAGAGACAGCCGTGCCCTTTGCCGCGAAGTCCCCGGTGAGGGGCAGACTTGTCGGCCTGTGACCACGATGGAAACACTTCACATCATGGCTGAATCCAGGCCCACAGCACAGAAAGAGCAGCTTCGCGAGACAATGTTTATGGCACCTTCTAATGTGCTCCAGTATTTTCTGCTCCTTTGCAGTTTTGAATGTGTTTTATCCTGTTAAATCCATTTGTGATTCAAGAATAGTTTTCAGCCCACATTTTGAAAAACATTGGCTTAACTGTGGCTTTTCTTGGTTCAGGAGGTGGGTACTGGGCACCGTATCAAGCACGAGGAAATGGCTACACATGTGTTTTGTTCTTTCTCAAAATGCTCAGCTTTGAGAATAAAAGAAAGTCTTGCCTTTCAGGCTGTTGTCTCTGCGATGGGTTTTAAATAAATCCATTCAGACGTCCAACGGATTTCTTACCCTCGAGAAGAGTGTGTGTGGAATGTGACTGGGTGACACGAAGCGATGGGCCGAGAGAGGCACAGAGAGTTGAGCCCCAGTCACCCACTGCCCCTCTGTCCCCTCCCCGCACACAGCTCTGGTCCTTTACGTCCTTTTCTGCCCCCAGTTTGGAAGACTGAGACTTTATTCCACTTTGTGGGGGATCAGATTTATCCAACATTTTGTCAATGCCCAAAACATCCAAGTAGCTTTTCAAATGACTTTTCCATTCATCGATGTTGGAGAGGACACACACACACATGTGTACACACATGCACACACACAGGCACACACACATGCACAGTCTTCAGCAGTGATGGAGTACCAGAGAACCCCAGTGAAAACTCCGCTTCTGATTCTTAATTAGGAGCCTTCCCCCTAACCTCGAATGGGATCCAGGCCGATACGGGCCTCACTTCCCGGAAGCCTGCCCTCGCACGAGGCTTTCCAGACCAAACCCAGCTACTCCTCCTTTGTTAGAGGCTGCGCTGATTTAATTCTCTGCTCTCCCTGGTAGGGAGACATTTGCTCTTAATTAGCCCCCTAGTTTGAAAGTCCTTTTTTAAAGAACTTCCTTCTGGGAGCCTGGTGCCTTCCTTACCTCATTCTTTTCATGTTGACAGCACCTGTCTCCCCTTCTTCTCTCCCTCCTCAGGCTTCCCAGGATCCATATCCACAGGAGGCTGCAGAGGGCGCCTGCAGCTCAGCAGTGAGGAAAACCTCCCCAGCTGATCAGGCGCAGCTCCTCCTGAGTCACCATGTCCCCGCCCACCAGGCTGGCCACCAACTAGCACCTGGGCATGCGGAGCAATCTCCCCGCCAGGCCTTTGCCCTGGGTACAGAGTCTGTGCCCTCCCCTCACAAGGCACCGGGCACTCCTGCAGGCCACACAGTGCCCATCTCTTGTTTTCCAGGTGCTGAGAACCTGAATCCCCAACTCCCAGCAGCTCCAGAGACGACCGGAAAAGCAGGGTCAGCCTGGGAGCTTGGGAAACACAACTCACATCAGATTCTGTGGCCTGCATGCTGTGTGCTGCCTGAGAGGAGAAGGTAGGCAGAGTGCTGGGGCCAGACACTAAAAGCAACTTCCATGCTCCTAGGACAGATGACTACGGGGCGCAGGTACAGGGCAGCTGAGGAGAAGGAAGGGAAGAAGGTCAAATGTGGCTGGGAGCTGACTGTTAACTCCTCCCACATTCAGGAACCTGTGACGGCCGCTGGATACCAGAAGGCATGGGCAGCAGGGAAGACAAGTCCAGGAGCTGTGTGGTGTGTGGGGACCGAGCCACAGGCTATAATTTCCATGCCCTGACCTGTGAGGGCTGCAAGGGTTTCTTCAGGTAAAGCCTCCTCCCAGCAGACACACCCCTACCTGGCACCCCTACCAAGCGTGTGTTTGGGGGGCAGCCCCTGGCCCCTGGCATGTGCCTGGCTGTGTCCAGGGCCTTGTGTATCTGAGTGTAGCTACCCTGTGGCTGACACCCTGCACCCCGGCCACCACACGCTGCCTAAACTGGTGGTGTGAAAAAAAGAGAGGCCACATACAGGTCCCATGCGCATGAGTCAAGGGCACTCGTGTACTTGAAAAGCACCAAGCTAGGGCTACAAGCTGGGCCTGCATGAGCTGGAGCCTGTGTTCCCAAGAAAATGCTCAAGGTGCCATTCTACTGCGCACCCCACCCTGGGCCCTCGGTCACAGCTGAGATAAGCTCTTGTCACCAGATTCCGAGCCTTTTGGACCATATCCTGTCCCACCTGCCTGATCCCTGCCATCCCGGGCCCTGACCATGTCTCTGTCCTGCACAGACGTACAGCCAGCAAAAGTACCCAGCGCACCTGCCCCTTTGCTGGAAGCTGTGAGGTCAGCAAGGCTCAGAGGCGCCGCTGCCCAGCCTGCAGGTTGCAGAAGTGTCTGGACGTCGGCATGCGGAAAGACAGTGAGTGAGTTGGCCTCCCGCCAGCCCTGCCCAAGGGCCTGGCCAGGGCTCTGCTTTGTCTGTTTCCAAGAGCCCACTTACCACCTCACAGGCATAGTACACTTCCTGAAACGAGTTGGGCCATGTCGCTATTCTGCTCAAACTTCCGGTGGCTCCTGTCACTCTCCGAGCAGGTGGCCTTGTGGTCCCGCTTCTGCAAAACACCTTTCAGACTTTTTTGCTCTTTCTGCCTTGCTTGGTCCATTCCAGCCAGCACGGCAAGCGTGCCCCTCCTCAGGACTTTGGCACTTGCCGTTCCTTCTGCGTGGAGGGCCTTTCCCCTGCTCGGGGACGGGGAACCTTCAGAGCCGGCGGTGATACCAGCTGGCCTACGGAGGCACTTGGGCATAGGTCCACACCACTGCTCTAGACGCCCTCACGGCCTGCGTGTCCTCTTCTGCCTCCTGCACCCAGGCCCACTTGGCTGAAAAGTGGCAGAGTTGGTACTGCTCAGACTTTCTATTCTCATCGCAACACTTTTCAGTGTGGAGCAGAGGAGAGGAACCGGTAGGGGCCAGACATCTTGGTTTGAACTCAGTCTGTATCATTTTTTGCAATGCTAGGGTTTGAACCTGGGGCCTTCACACTGTACCACATCCCTGGGCCCTCTTCATTTTTCATTTTGACACAGGATCTCAACATGTCATTAATTTGGCCGAGCTGCTCTCAAACTTGTGATCCTCCTGCCTCAGCCCTCTAGAGTTCTGGGACCATGGGTGTGAGCACCACTCTCAGGTATCACTTATTTTTGACTTTGGACCTAAGCTTGCTGATGAATAAGACTCGCCCTGTCACATGCAGCGGAATCAGATCCCAGAGCCGTGGAACTGCGAGGCTGTGGTGTGGTTCGCTCCTGAAACACCCCTCAAGGCTCGTGTGTTTAGAGGGGGGACTCTAGGAGGGTGAGTGCACCCTGAAGGCTCCAGCTTCCTCAGGGACAGACCTTTGGTGGATTCGGGATCTGATGACCTGACGGAGCTCACCTGGGACATGTTGAAGGGTCATGGGGTGCAGCCTCAGGGACTCTGTCATGTGCTCAGCCCTTCCCTTGCTGGGTCCGTTTCTGTCCTTGTGCCATGAGGTGAGGCGAGCTCCTCTGCCGCCCCCTTCCCTCCACCTCAGGCCCAGAAACAGTGGAACCAGTAGAAATCTCTGAAAGCCTGAGGTGATGTGACTCTTCCTCCTTCAAGGTATTTTTCTCCGGTTTCTTTGTCTACGCGTCGGTTCTGACAGGTGCGGTGTGCAGACAGAAGGTCTGTGAAAGCCACTTCACGCTTCTCTGGAAGCTGAACGTCTCCTTCCGTCTTTCCCACTTCACCCTTCAGCCTTCCCTCTCTGAGGCACCATGTTCTGCTTATGAGATGCCTGTGAAGTAAAGGAAAGGCATCCGGCCCCGGGAGCCCCTGTGATTCCAGCCAGGCTCAGGGAGGCCTCAGGAGCTCGCCTCCCCCATCCTTCCATGCCAGGGCAGCTGACGGGGACTGGTTTCAGTGGCTTTGCTCTGTCTCTTGCCTGGCACAGTGATACTCTCAGCAGAAGACCTGGCACTGCGGAGAGCCAGGCAGGATTGGCGGCGGGCACAGCAAGCACCGATGAAGGAGCAGAAAGAGCTGATCCAGACCCTCCTGGAGGCCCACACGAGCCACATGGCCACCATGTTCGACCACTTTGTGCACTTCAAGGTGAGGCAGGGTGGGGCTAGGAAGTGACCAAAGGGCGCCCAGGAGGGTGGCATGGGGAAGGGCTGGTGTGTTCCTCAGCAGTGGAGGACAGGCCTTCTCAGAGGCCAGCCGGGCAGCTCCTCAACTCTAGGAAGAGGCTTCTGGGGCAAGGCTGGCCGGGCCTCAGGCAGCCGCCTGGCCTGGGCATCCTGCTCAAACTCCGGTTTCCGCAGCCTCCAGCTCGCCTCTTCAGCCACCACCGGCCTTTTTCTGCCCTGGACCCTGTGCTGCCTCTGCTCACACACTTTGCAGATATTGACACCTTCATGATACAGCAGATTATCAAGTTCGCCAAGGCTCTGCCCTTCTTCCGGTCAGTGGCCTCCCCTTATCTTCCAGGAAGTCAGCACTTCATAAATTCTATACCACCCCACCCTGAAAAAGCCACCAATCAAATGAACACAGCCCACAGCCTTTCCAAGCACCAGGTCTCTAATTCCCGGCCTTCCTTTTCAGTGTGTCCGTCAGGACCAGGAGTTCAGACTCGAACCTCAAGTCCCGGTTTCCCACTCCCCACAGGTCCCTGCACATGGAGAACCAGATCTCCCTTCTCAAGGGCGCAGCGGTGGAAATATGTCACATTGTGCTCAATACCACTTTCTGTCTCCAGACACAGCACTTCGTGTGCGGGCCTCTTCACTACAGGGTGGAAGATGCAATCTATGGTAAGAAGAGTCAGAGAGCCAGACGCATGAGTCCTTGTGGAACCGGCCTCCACAGCCTGTGTCTCCCTCAGCAGGGTTCCAGGAAGAGTTTATGGAGCTGGCCGTTGGTTTCCACAGGACGCTGAAGCGCCTGCAGCTACAGGTACCCGAGTATGTGCTCATGGCCGCCATCGCCCTCTTCTCTCCCGGTGAGCAGCCCACAGCCCCAAACTTTAGCCCCTTGACTTCAGCCACCTCAGTCAAACCTGCAGCCTCCCCGACCTGCCCTTCCCTGCTCCCCGGGGGTCTTGCAGATCGGCCTGGAGTCACCCAGAGGGAAGAGATCGAGCAGCGGCAGGAGAAGATGGCCCTGACTCTGGACAGCTACATCAAGGAGCGGGAGCAGCAGCCGAGGCCTCGGAAAAGGTGTGTTAGGGAAACAAGCTCTAGGCAAATGCTTGTCATCGCCATTTCCTTTGGGAGACCATGGGGAATCTGCTCTTTCCCTCCGACCGTCCTTGCCCCACAGACTTCCAGCATCCAAGCTGTTCTTACTGCTGTTTGTCGTCCCTGAGACAAGATAACCGACACTCAAAGCTCAAAGAGGAAAGGTGTACTTAGTTCACAGTTTGTAGAGGTTCAGCCTGCGATCGGCTGGCTCGAAGACAGGGCGGCACGTGGCAGAGGGGCAGCAGTGCATGGCGGCTGAAAGGAGGCAGCAAGACCACAAAGGACCTTAACAGCGTCTTCCTGTCCCTTCTGTCTAATCCACGTAGGGCGGCAGCTCTCACACCCTCAATCCTAGTGCCCAGCACTGCACCACGAATCGGTCACACACTCTTGACCCAGCCACCTCTGAAAAAGCCCCGCCTCATTGCCTGAGCTTTGGGGGACATTTACACACAGCCATTGGGCCGTTTCATTCACTCCCCCCAACTTTCTAATGCAGTGGAGGTGCCATAGCTCACAGGTTCTGCGGGACAGCATTCTTGAGGTTGATGACAGCCGTCTCCTCGCCTCTCCTTCCTCTCCAGACCAATGCACGTTGGGAAAAGTCCGTTCACTCTTCCTTGGCCCCTCTGCTTTCTCCATTAGGCCAACGCCTTGACATTTTCTTGTCCCTCCAAGGGATGTGAGTTTTCATGTTGTTCAATGGTTTCACAGCCAGTCCGGGCTCTGAGGCGTGCACTGCCTGTTTTTATTCATGCCTCAACAAGTCAGTTTGCCAGCAAGGGGGCGTTTTGTACATAGAACAACATATCTACCTTCTGGAACACACTGTGGAATCCGGACCCTCGGGTTCTACACAGTGGAGTTCTGGCCCACCGGACATTCCGCACACCTGGGCCTCAGAGCCCCGGGCTCAGAAGAAGCTAGTCACGCGAGAGAAGACAGTGTCAGGCACAGCCCCGCTGGGGACCTCCAGAACTTCGGTAAATCTGTCCTAGCAGAGCCTGGTTTTCTCTAGTGAGTGGACGTAGCTCCATCGGAGCGTTGCGGGGCTCAGGCCTTCCAGATAGACTCCCAGGTGCTTCATTTCCCTTTTCTGTTCCTGCTGACCTCGCTGCTTCCTCTAAAGGTTTCTTTATGCGAAGCTGCTGGGCCTGTTGGCTGAGCTCCGGAGCATCAACAGCAAATACTGGTACCAAGTCCAGCGCATCCAGGGACTACCTGAAATGATGCCACTGGTCCAGGAGATCTGCAGCTGAGGCAGGCTCTCCGCCGTCCTCTCCCCGCTGGACTGAGAGACTGGAGGAGTAAGGGGCCTCAGTGGTTTCAATGAAAGACTAAAACAGCAGCCGCCCTTCATGTGGTCACTGGGGAAGTTGAGCAACCATGGGGACACAGTGGCTCTGAAAGCACAGAAGACTGGGAGGAAAAAGCCTCAGGGAGAAGAGGCAAAGCCCCTTCTGGCAATGAGTGGCCCCATTTCTGAGGTGAAAGATTTCCCCTTCACCCTATTAGCCTGAGAGGCTCTGAGGTGGGAAAACGGGGTGGGGAGCGAATCCCAGGCAGACTTTTCTGCTCTGAGAAGGGTGCAGGAGGGTTTAATCCCAGGGGAAGTTCGGCCAGACACTCCTCTTGGTCCTTCCCACAGCCCCGCCCTACACACTGTTACTCCACCGCAGCTCTGGAGGATGAAAGTGGGGTTGGAGGCAGAAGAGGACCCTCAGACCCTGGCCGCCCGCCTTGGTGATGCTTTGGCAGCTCCCGTTCTGTTCTGAAGGGTGCATCTCCTGCCCTGCCCTGCCCTGCCCTGCTCTGCTCTGCTCTGCTCCTGGGGGTTACAGGTCCCCTAGTGAGGTGGGCCCTGGCCCTGCTTCGGAGCTGGCTCTGGGACCACCAGAGCCTCAGTGGAACCTAGTACACCCATGACCGAAAAAGACTGAGGGCGGTGACGAAGGGTGGCTAGCGCCCACAGGCTATGACTCTGCACAGTGCTTTGGCCCGTGGTAACCAAGGACATGCTTGTGTACTGTGGCTTTGTGCTTAAATACCATGCCACCCTGAACCATGCCAGCCAGGATTTCCTGGGCCTCAGTGCCTGTGCAGTCACCTCTCCGACGCTTTCCTGGAACTGTGCAGCCAGGGACTTGGTGTTAGGGAATTGATCATGTTAAAGTATGCTGTGACGCCGCCTCACAGGCTGCATTCTCCTGGTACCTCTTGGCTCCTAAAATGACCTCATGCCCTTATCTCTGGTTTCCCTCCCCCCCAAGGCCACAGTAGTCCAGGAAAGTTGAAACCCGTGTCTGCAGGACTGGGCCCATAAAAGCAATCTGGCCTGTGATAGGTTAAAAGTAGCTCACTCCTCATAAATAAGCAATAGCCCAGCCCAAAACTGATAAAAGGACCTTCCTTTCTTTGTTCTCTCTCTCCTTCTGCTTCTTCCTCCTCTCTCTCTCTCTCTCTCTCTCTCTCTCTCTGCCTTCCTGCCTCCTGCTCGCCTCCCTACAATAAAGATCTCCTGCCGGACCTCTCGGTGCGTGAGTGGCCTAATTGGGAAGGGGCACCCGAAAGGGCACGCGAACCCCCTTTCACTCGGCCCACTCTGGGCTGTTGCTGCTGCGCCCACAGAGCCAGCACCTGGGCAGTGGGCCTGTCTCTGCTGTCCTCATCTGCTTCACAGTGGACACCTCCTCCATGGCTAAGCTGCAGGTCCCCCCACAGCTGTGTGGAAGGAAAGGTGGCTCAGAACCTTGCCTACGGTGACCCCGCTCCCGCCATCTGTGCTGGGAGCAGCCTGGACAGGCTCTGCCTTGCTGGTCAGCTTGTCCAAGCTCCAGAGCTAGGCATGGGCCCTCTTGGTTGGAGCAGCAGTGGGGCAAGCTTGGTGTGCCCCACACTGGTCCAGAGGGTGGGCCATTTCCCTTTCTCTCCAGCCCACCCTGGTTATCTTGATGGGGCGGCCCATGAGTCCAGTTTCTTTCTTCCGTCTTGTTCTACCTCCATGAAATAAGCGATGGGGCCAGATTGTCCCTCAGCTCTCCAAGAGCTCAACAGCCTTTCAGGGGCACAGCTGCTCCCAGCTGTTGGAGAGCAGTGGTCCCGTCACACACTCGCATGGGCAGCTGGGCCTGCATGCGTCCTTCCTGCCACTCTCAGCCTGTCCAGCTGGGGCTCCTGTGGTGCAGAACTGGAGGACCTCTGCCATCCACCCTTGCCTGGAGGGGACGGCAAGACTTCCTGGTTCTGAGCGGGGTGCAGGCACTCACCTGAACTGGGAGGTCAGCAACCTCCTTCGCCTTTTCTAAAAAGCCCGGGAAAGGGAGAGGCTTTGAAAATGCAAATGAGATAATCACATACAATGGATTTTCCTTTCCATTCTGCTTACTTCCTTAATTTACTCAGCAAATATGTATTTAGTATGTGCTGGGCATTGTTTTGGGTGCTACTGCAGGTGGTGAATGAGAGAGCAGATTCTTACTCTCTGGAGTTCACGTTCTATAGGGACTGGTTTTGGAGGAGGGCAGAAGCTAACTGGAGCTTTTCAACCATCTTTTAGATCACTGAAAATGGGAATTGGCACAGCAGTTTATTACATTCCTTCTCCCCCCACACAACAGAATCAGAAGTTTCCCAGGACAACACTTGCTCCTTTTACATATAAAGAGCTAAAAAAAATTGTCTTATTAAGACTTGAATGAAGAATTTTTTTAAAATCCCAAAGAAGAAGACAAAAAAGATTCAGGCAAGATTTTTAGTGAATACACGGGGAAGTCTGTCTGCTTGCAAGTTGCTTGCTTGCAGTTCAGACCCGCAAGGTCAGTGTTACCTACACACCCACGTGGCCCTGCATGCTCATTTGCATTAGTCAGTTTCAAAGGTTGAAATCCTCATGCATACAGATAGCTGCTTGTGCACAGTAATTCTAAGGCTATGGTTTGGAATTCAAAGGTTTCCCCAAAGGCCATGTGTTGAAGGTCACCAGGCTGCACTGCTTCTGGGAGTTGATAGAACTTTATAGAGGCGTGGCCAAGAGGAAGGAATTTAAGTTCCTGGGGTCCTGGAAGTGGCTACTGGGGCCTAGCCCCTCCCTCTCTCTTTCTCTTCCTGCTTCCCATACACCAGGAAGTGAACAGCTGTGTCGCATGCTCCCTGTGGGATGTGTTGCCTCACTACAGGCCCAAGGCAGCAGGGCTAAGTGACCATGGACTGAAGCCTGGGGTATCATGAGCCCAAATCCTCCTTCTCATATTTAGCTCAGATGTTTTGTCAATGTAACAGCAGGCTAACACAAGAAGAATGCGTTCTTTCTGTCTAGCAGTGAAAATTCTTTAATTTTGCTCTAAAACGACAATACATTTCTTGTGATCATTCATTAGTACAAATGAGGAAATATGCTGTGACCATTCATTTGCCTCTTTGGGGCCCAAAATTTAGGTCATTGATTAATTCCAGGTTTTCCAAAGGAAGCTCTTCTTTGACTTGGAAAGTTTTCTCTAGTATTTATTGAGAAGATAGGAACTGAGCTGGAGACACAAACACCTGAAACCAGGCTTTTATTAGCGGGACGGGGTGTAGAGGACGGGGTGCCAGGTTGTCTCAGACAATGGTGAGAGCAGCGGGGAGGGAGTGGCTGGGTGAGGTTTCCTATGGTCAGGGGTCATAAGGGGGGGACACAGAGGAAGTAGATGTTTGGCTGCAGCCAGAGGTGACGTTTAAATCCATTGGCAGGTTTGGATTTCCTGGTTGGAAGGGACAGAGGTGGGAACGCTTTGTGGAGGGAAAGTTGGGTCTTCGTTTCCCCAGAGTGATTTATTATCTGTCAGGAAGAGCCATTGAGGATGTGGGGTTAGGGCCATTTTACCTAGCAGGGAATGCTATCATTTATGATTTCTTTTCTAGAAAATAATGGCAACTTTGAGAGAGAGCAGTGAAACACAGCCGCATCCCTAAGTTTATTCCAGTCCCACTGTCTTCACTCGTTATGTCCACTTCAAGCCCTACTTCCAAAGCAAAATGGGTTGGAATTCTGGATGTGTCGGATTTGTTGAATTATGTTGTTGCTTTCTTCCTGAAGTCATACATTTGTATTCATTAAAAATATCACGAAGCTCTGTAAAGTATACTAATTTTAAATCCTAAACATCATTTTTGAAAAGGAGGTCTCTTGCCGACGAGACCGTGGTTCACCGAGCAGCGTGTGAGTGAGGTCCCTGGGTCTGCCCACTTACGTAGCCCTTTCCCAATGGGAGCCTCACTGTGCCTCGGCAGAGAGGGATGGTTAGCTCTAATTTGAGCAAAGCTCGCCCAGAGTTTGGCTTTTAACGTGCTCTCTACTAAATTTAGTGGCCTTTACCAGGAGCGCGTCCATGAGAAATGGCAGCATTGCTTATCGAGGTGGCCCACAGAATTCCTCCTGATGCCGATTCTAAACACAACTGTTAGTTGTAGCTCGCAATACCGTTTTAATAGTTTTGTTGCACTTTCTTTATATCTACCTGCCCCGTCACCCATGATTCTAATATTTTTCTGTTTTAATAGATGTTGACCAACAACATATTTTCTGGTTTTGTGATTATATCGAATCCATTGTATGAGAAATTAAATTTAAATGGCACTTACTCATATTCACACACATCGTGCCATTCCGCACACACTGAGGATCTGAACAAGATACAGTATCTGTGTCCTTCATGGGAAGAACGGCTGCAGCGTAGAAGGCCCGTAGCAGTGCAGACTCGATTAGAAGTGGAATCATCCCGAAGAGTGGTAACATTTGGGCTGGAGATTTAGTTCAGTGCTTCCACCGCCTGCTTTGCAAGCGCAAGGTCCTGAGTTTGATCCCCAGTACCAAAAAGGAAAAAAAAAGAGTGGTAAAATTTAATTTATCCATTGATTTAGTACTAAAAGCCATGTATACCCTTCTATTTATGTTAGATGTGTAATTTTTCAACAATTGTGCCATTTACTTCTAATAATGATGTAAAATTCTGTTACACAAAAAAATCTCTAATTTAATAATAATGTATACATTTATGCCAACTTGGAGCCGTATTTTGCTTGATAACGTCCTTTGAGAGAGATGCTTTGCAGTGAACACTGAATGATGCTAATATAG